AAAATGGTTTGGATATTATTGATCCTCGTCTCAAGACGAAGAGAATGACATTGGTCCCGCCGGAATCGGAAAAAGTTCATTTTCCGGCGACTTTGACCGGCGGGCGGCGGCGGCGGGGCCTGGAAGAAAAGAAAAGAAGAAATGGGGTCAAATTGAAAATTTTAAAATATATAAAATTCGAATTTGGCCCTAATGACCGGAAGTTAACCTAGAAACGGGCTAATGGCTCATTAGTGAAAGGATTGTGTAAGTTCAGAGATTTTTGTGAAAGGATTTGAAGTTCAGGTACCACTTCGAAATTCCAGCTAAAGTTCAGGTACCATTGGTGAAATTTACCCGTTAGAATGGTTACTTCTTTGTTTCTATCTAAGAAGAAAACATTTGAAGTATGTTGTAATGTTTTTCCAAAATATTTGAAGTATGTTGTAATGGTTACTTCTTTGTTTTTATCAACACGTGTCATTTGTAATGTATTAATAATAATAATAATATATTAATACTCCCTCCGTCCTAAAACTATCTTCCCAGTTACTCCGTACTATTCACACGGTCAAACTTAAATCACTTTCTTTATCTATTTTCGCTACTTATTTGATAAAATAATATAATCTTGTCACCTCTCATTTTGTAGAACTTTTAATGTAATTTTTAAATATGTAAATTTTAATTTTTAAGTTTACACCTACAATCAAATAAATTGAATTGAAAATAAAGTCGGTCAAACCTCGTAAATACAAACGGGAATATGGTTTTAGGACGGAGGGAGTATCATTTAGTCCGTTTCTCCTTATCAATAATCTATTATGTAGGAATATTATCTTTATCCTTAGAATTTCCTAAGGTATATAATTAAATTTTTATCTTTATGAATTAAACTCTTAATTAAATTTCAATTAATGACAAATATAATAACGAAATGCTTCCCGTGCATAGCACGGGTACGATGCTAGTAGTCTATAATAGCCAAGTAAAGATAAAATGATTATTTGTCCCTCACCCCCTCCATTACCACATAAATGAACAAAAAATTTAAAAAAAAATAAATAAATAAAAAGTAGATAAAAATGATTGGTGGAAAAGGGGGTGGGGACAAATGGGGTACACCTTTGATGTACCCCTAGCATTGCTCTAAAAAAATATCAGAATATCATTAACTTCTCTTAAATAAAAAAGTCAAAAAATCATTAGTTCAAATTAGAATACAAGTTCTCATAAATAAATATCTGAAGAACATGAACTTAATCCAAACAATGAGATTCACAATAGGGGGTTTGGGCCAGAATGTGAATTACTTGATTCGCTGATCTACTAATAATTGGTAATGTGAAAGAAATAAAATCTCAAAACAAATTTGAACAAAGTATACCATATATTTTAGGGTGGTTGTAAAAGAAAATCCAAAAATATAGGTTAAACACTGCCACATCAATCACACATAAAAATTTAACACTTCTCGATTTTTAAAAAACGGGTTTTTGTAACAATAAATCAATTTTATATGACCCCACACACATCTTTAATTACCACGTATGCTATGTTCTTATAGGTTGAAAAATTAAATTCTAACTTTTTTTACTCTTTTTAGTTTCTTCTAATTTTTTTCTACTTCTTCTTATTTCTTCCAATAACTACTTAAAAAATGTATTTGAATATGATGATTATATAATAACATTATATTTCAAATTTATAACATAACACCTTAAACACAGACAAAGATGAATAATTTTTTATATCCAAAATTAATTTTCTTGCATATTTATTTAGGTGATCATTTAATTGAGTGATTTTTTAACATTTTATTTTTTCTAACATTTTTTAACTTTTTCCAATTTTTCACAATACTTTCCAATTTTTCCCAACATCTAAATTTAGAATTTCAACCGAAAAAATAGAGTCTTTGTGTTTATCTACCGGAATTTAATTTTAAATTATGCAACTATTTAATTCAAATGCTAAAATTCTTCGTTTAAGTAATGGGGTACTCGGTATAAGAAATATTGACAAATGAATTAAAAATGGGACAATCACGTTTAAAAATAGGTAAATGAAGTAGAAATGATAACAATAAGACAACTATACTAAGCAATATAGCTCCTACAAGTAACAGCTGTAGACTTTACTACTGGTATTTACTAATTGGTCTATAATTATAACTTTATTTACCCTTTCTCAAGTGACCGTCAAGCCAGATTTGAAGACCGTCTCAAAAATGGGATTCATCATTTTCTTAACTTTGACATCATTTTTTAAAATAGATATTCACAAATATTTCAAACATTACTATGTGTGTATAAATATGCGTAAAAAGATTTTTGGTGTCTTATTGGCATCAATTACCAAACTTGGAACATAAAATTTAAACTTCAAGCTCTACTTAAAATAAAAGTCAAAAAAGAAGTCTTAAATCCAATTGTGAAATATACAGGGTACTCCCTATAATTAAAGATTAATAACCAGATAATTCTGCCAAGCAGAACGGACAGTGGCCGTACGTAGAATTTCTTTATATGTAACCCCAGCAAGCAGAAGATCGAAGAATGTCCATTGCGCGGCAAAGTGTTTTACCTCATGAATGATAGTCTCTCCCTTGCAAATGTGATTTTTTTAGTAGAAACCAGTTTGTCCTAATAGAGAGTTAATGTTTATTTTTACAATAATACACAAGGAATATTTTTAGTTTATATAACTCCATCTACTTTTCAAAAACAACACATATACTATTATTGGAAGAATTACAATATGCACACACCCACTCCCCATATCTTGTGAGACCAAATGCCTTTAAAACAATAAGTACAACAGATTTATTAATCTGTACACATAACATGTCTTCAAGTGTACTAGCAACTAGCAACTAGCAACACATCAATAGTTAGTTTGTGCCCAATGGTTATACTGAGGCCTATGAGAAGATAAGCTTATGGGGAACACTTGACACCCAAAGAAAAAGACTAATCAAAAGTGCATTTTGCTAGAAAATAAAACTATAATTAGCACATACTAATGGGGATAAAAAAAAGGAAGAAAAAAAATCTAGGCAACTAAGGTTTCGAATAAAAGGAGAAGGGAAATTCTGAATATCAAATGTCTCAAGAGTGTTCCTTCTGACTTCTCTCAACATATGCCTGCAACATAAAAGAGATGGTCAACATGAAGCCGAAATTTCTCAGAGGAACAGAATCAACACATCAGTATAAACCAAAGCTTAAAACATTGTCTTTTGAGAGACCAGAATATACATTTCATCTTCCCGGTTGAACAATAGTATAACTTTTAAATTTTAGTAAGGTACAACTATTAGGAATCACAGAA